GAACTTGAATTTATTTCTTATCTATCTTCTAATTCCTTACCCAAGTCATTAGAGTTTTATACGGTTTACTACATTCTTATCGTAATCATAACAGGTTTACCTAAATCAACGATATCCATAAGATCAATCGAACTCATTCTTGCTTTTACTAACTATCAACGTGTACCATACAACATACGAAAGGTAGTAGAGTATTATCTCGATTTTCTTGCTCCAACGATCAAACATTTAAACTTCATTTGATCACTCTCGATCTTGAATACAACGTCCAACATTATCTCGGATACATATAAATAGAAATTACATCAGAAACAGGGCTTAATTGCGGAAAACGGATCAAATCGGAAGGTAAAATGCTAAAAACCAACTTACCGGGATTGAATTTCAAGAAAACGGGTTAACTTAGACGAGTTGACTCAATTCGTTTTAGCTCGGTTCGATCCAAGTTGACTCGGACCGGTTTGACCTGGTCTGGTCAAATAGACCCGATTCAGACCGGCTTGGGCCGGTTCGAGGCAATCCAGACCGTTTTAGAAAAAACCAAAGCTGAGAGGCGAGCCCCACGCGCACCCGACAGTGCGTGGCAGCGCGTGAAACAACGGTAAGGAGAGGGTCGGTCGACCGATTACTCTAGTGCATCCCAATTGCGGACGAATAAAATCGACAACGGTGGATGATGGCTTGGGTAGGGTTCTGGTCGGAATCGCCTAGGGAACACAGTGTTGGAGGCGGTGAGGTAACCCGACGTCAGAATCAGCCGGAATCAACCGTAAACCAGTGATGGACGGTTGGTTTTCGCGACAAGACTTCATGATGAAATTAACGACGTCATCCCACGGCGGAATGCTGGTCGGGCTTTGGTCGCCGATCGATGGCGAGCACGATAATGGCGGTGGCGGGCTGAACGACGATCAGATGATGGGGATTCGACGAGGCCGGCGGGGAAGAATTAGGGATTGAATTTTTCCAATTTGGGGATTTTGGGGGTTAACCGGGTTTTAACTAACTAGGAAAAATTGGGAAAATTTAGGGCTAAGTCCCTAAACTTCCTATAGGTTCCAAAATCAACTTGCAAACTTTTAAAATTTGGCAATTTAGTCCTCAACTTTCTTTTAATTAAATTTTTGGGGTCTTACACGTAAATAGACCAAACACAAGTTTCACACATCCAAGGCTTGCTCCAAAGTCCTAAGACAATGCACATGTTGATGTTACATAAAACACTCATATCTATCTTTCCCTAACTGCTGTATAATCACCATGGAATCATTGCATAGTCATATACAATAGGTTGGTAAAATTTCTACTGTTAAATGAAAACGTTAATACCGATGGTCACAAATAATAATAATAAAATAACATAATTATCGTGTCATGTAAGTCATTATCTTAAAAGTAAATTTATCTGGTTAATGTAATCGCAATAATGAAATTACTGTAAGAGTTAACACAATCTTCTCAAATTCATACACCCGAAATAAAGAAATGAAACTCAAATAATATTGTTCTTTTTTTTTTATAGAAATACAATTCAATATCTTTTATAGAAGGTGCTGGTAAATGCTCTAGAAATAAATTCAATATCTTTTATAGAAGGTGGCTAATACTTGACACTTACGTGCACAATTTTATCAAGTATATCTCAATAAAGATCACATGAATCAAGACTGTTAAAACACTAAGAGCATTTAATAAGTTCAACATCTCAAATTTAAATTTTGTGAATTCACCGAGTCGATCTCAATAAAACAACCCAAACAAAATATAAGATCTCATTAAGAATAAAAAACTCAACATTATATGTCGATAAATTTATCAACTATGTCTCAATAGGACCACTTAAAACCATAGGTATAAACTCATTAAGAACACATAGTGACTCATCCTATAAATTCAGTAAATTCATCAAGTTCGTCTCACTAAGACCGCTCAAACTATGGACTATGAAGTCATTAAAAGCGTTTAGTAGTTTATCTTATAAATTTGATAAAATTATCAACTTTATCTTTATAGGACTACCCAAACCACATGTACTATGAACTATTAAGATCAAATTGTTTATTCTTAAACACGTACATTATATGAACCTCTTCTCATACTTGACATTTTAGTGAATGGATCAATAAGATTACTTTTTGTTCTCATGTACTCCAAAGTAAGCACTCCATCAAATGTTTTTACAATCACATCTAATTTGTTTGTGCCTTTTTCTCATTATTATATGCCTGAATTTTAGCAGTATAAAAATAGCTTCGAGTCACATAAATAAACAAATGTTTATCAATTTTATAAAATTTTAAGAAATAATTGTTCTAGCCAATAAAAGCTACTAATAAAAGTTTAATTTCATTATTTATTAGTTACCCATATTATATCGTAATTTTTTTCTAATATTATAAGGTATCCAATAAATTACAGTTCTCAATTTTGTTTCAATTTTAAGAACTTGAATAATTATTTTTTAATAATAATTTAATATTCACTGCTAAGAATTAAGATTGTGGGTATACTACAACATCGATAAAACTAGGTCGAGTAAAATTCAGTGATAACATATAACTCAATAAATTTTAGCGTACTAAATTTTAGGAAACATTGTTCCCTTTATTCTTTCTTTCAATATTATACTATATTTTCAAAAAAAATATTATACTAAAGTTGTATAGAGTACTCATGAGAATCATATCACAATTAAAACTTCTATGAAAAGAATTGATTTTAAGAAAATCATTTTGAAAAAAAAAAACATTTAAATTCCAGTTATCTCATTCAAGTTGTACATTTCAAATTAAAAGAATAATTAAAAAAGAGAAAATATCTCAAATTATAATAAATGTTTATAATCATAATCGTAAATTAAACACATAATTAAGATATTTTCTTATAATCATTGACACAAAAATTAGTAACTTAAGATTATATAAGGATCATATAAGGAAAAACTAAAAAATTTAATAAAAAACTCGAACAAAAATAGATATAAATAAATTTGATCTCATCAACAAATGAACCACAAAATAAGATCAGGCTAATGACAGACCACTGACAAATCGTAAATCAGAGTCGAGTGACGTGAAAAAATTATCCGCAAATGTAAATCGGTTATCCAAATCTAATTCGAGAGTTTAAAACAGAGAAGATCAGCATGATTACATATAAATATCATCTTCATCCACAATGACAATGTCAAATCAACCCTTAAAAAAAGATAAATGAAAACAACGGTCAAACAAATGAAAACAACGGTCAAACAATTGAAAACGTGTCAAAAGGTAGATGAAAACATGTCATAAAGATGAACTTATTAAAATTTAAAAATAAAAAAAATAAAGATGTGATTTAAAAAATAAAAGAGCAATAAAAAAATCCACGGTTGACAACCAACGTCAACCAACAAAAATGAAAAGGAACGATCCTTAAGTTTTTATGGCGAAGCGATCCAACTTAATTTAAAAAACAAGATGAAGTTCGAGTTTGAATTTTTTTTTTGATTTGGAGTCTTCATCGACTTTTGGGTTAGGTAGTCGAACACCTAAAAATGTATTTTAAATGATTTTTAGGAAAAATTCATTTTAAAAGACAAAAATGGTATGCATTTAACTATAAATTAATTTTTAAGCATTCGGGAGTCGATTACGTATGGGGAAGGATGAGCATCCCACAACGTCCAAAATTGATACCTAAACGATTATACATCATCTAAATATCAAAAATTACAAATTCGAATATACATTTTAAATTATGATCATTTTATTCATATGCATTTTCATTTATTTTGAAAAGGGTGTCCTTTTAATTTGAAAAATTAATAAATATCACCATTCAATCAGTCATAATATTATCTCATCAATTTCCAAATTAATACAACATTGTCTTGAAAGTTATTAAATCACAAAAAATATGACAAATTAAACAAGTGTGATGAATGTAACATGAATGCATATTAATATATAGTAATAACACGTTTAATATTTATATTACAAAATAAAATCATTTAAAATTTAGAAAGATATCTTTTGTACGAACAATTTTCAAAAACACATTTCTTGTAAGTCAAGAGATGTTTTCGTAGATTCCCCTCACAAAAGATCATTGCTTTAATTTCCAATAAAAAATATATACATATATATAAAAACATAAAAGAGTATTATTTTGTATGAACAAATACTTAGAAACACACTTATTGTGAATCAAGATACGTTTTCATAAATTCCTCTTACAAAATAATATTATCTCATTTTTCATTAATATCTATAATATACCCAACAAAATACATTTACCACATATAAATAAGTACATATAAACATTTAATATTTACTAAAAAAAGGTATGAGAACTATATATATATATATATTAATATAATCAGAGTTATTTTATATACATATAAATAAAAATGACATGAGCATGTACAAAGAAAACCCAACGAGGATTTAAACGTAATAATATAAACATGGTAGGCTGAAATGCAAATAACAAAATATTAAACAAACATGAAAATGAGTGACCAAAGTAAAAAAGGTGATAAATTTAAAGGTCAAACAACAAAAGCAGCAAAAAAATGGAAACGAATACTAATCTCATGCAATTTGGGAACTGAAAATGAAAATAAACCATAAATGATATTTAGGACTAAAAGTAACAAATATTTAAAATTAAATACCAAATGTACAATAAATGAAAATAAAGGCAAAACGCACTTAAGTGACTAAAATGGAATTTTTATAAAATAAAGGGATAATTAAGAAACTTGCAAAGCCTCAAATTTGGATTAAATTGTATTAAAGTTGAAAGTGGACGGAGCCCTACAAAAATAACTCAACAAGAAAAAATAGGTTGCCCTAGCCTCTAAACGGCAGCGTTTTAAAATGGAACAAAAATAATAGTTTAGATACTAAATCTGTACTTTACCCTATTTATTTTTAGAACAGCACCTGGGTCGCACGTGCCCATCCAGATTAGAGATACTTATATTAGAAGGTCCATATTTCTAACCAAATTCCCCATTGATTTCTCTATTAGAAACCCTCCCCAAACCCTAACCCTAACCCTAAAAAGATTGATGACGATGATCGTTAATCCTTTCTGTCTCTCCAATCTTTGATCGAGGTCCTACAAATTTTTATTATTCCTTTTTCACCAGAGGAATTTCAGAACCGAAACCTTCGAAGCTGCTGCGTTTTTCTTTGAAGATCGATCGGTGGTTGGATTTTCTGTTGAAGACTACTTTTGGTTCGAGTTTTAGTAGATCTGGATCAGCGGAGAATTTATTAAATCCGAGCTAATAAAACAATACAAGAGATCGTGTGAATTTGTCGAGTGTCTATGGCCAAGTGGATTTTACATAATTCATTTTGATTTGCCCTGATATATTTCGGAACTTCTGGATTCGCTTACAAATTGTGAAAATTCGGCTATTTTTTGATAAAATCCTGGAGAAATTGCCAGAATAGATTTGTTGAAGAGAGAGCTTCGGATTTTGCATCGCCGAAGTATCAGGAGTTTGGTTCTATTTCTTTTAGAATAAGAAAAAAATGAAGATTTTTTTTTACAGTTCAATTTTGTTTTTGTTTTCTTACCAGGCCTTTCTTTGAAGGCCAATAAATACTTTGATTACATTTTTTTAGTTAATCATCATCATCATCATCATCACTGTTTTTCTCTATTAAGAGGAAAAAGAAAAGAAAAATGGCTGTTTATTACAAGTTTAAGAGTGCAAGAGATTTTGATTCAATTGCCATGGATGCTCCGTTTATAAGCGTTGGTACTTTGAAAGAAAAAATATTTGAATCAAAGCACTTGGGCAGGGGTACAGACTTCGACCTCGTTGTCACTAATGCCCAAACTAACGAAGGTTGGTCTTTTCACTTTGATAGCTATTTTCAATTAAAAGTTAATTGGGAGCAAATATTGCATTTAGTATATTATTGAAAGGAAAAAAAGGGATTGCATTTAGTACCATGTCCTTAACTACTTCATATTATATGTATTCTCTTTTAGTGTCTAAGCTTTCTAATTTGATTGTTACACATCTTCGACCGGATTGCCTCAATTTGAAATAGAGTTTTATCTCGAGCACAGTTTCCATTGTATAGGTTGTTGTAACCTTGTCTAGCCTTTTGCACTTTGAGTGTTTGGAGGTGGGTTTCAAAAATTAAAAGTCGGATAGTCAATATAAAGAATTGTTTTTTCAGGGAGTGGTATTCTGGTTTTTAATTGAATTCAGCATAGAAATGCCACTTCTGAGTACAGCTAAATCAATCTTTATGTTGGTTCACTTTGTTTCTTGAATGGTTATTTAAATTGTTTGTCCCTATTGGATTAGTCTGTTTTTAGTGTTTTATAGACTTGTTCTCTATTTTCAATTTCAGAATATCTTGATGAAGCAACGGTAATCCCAAAAAATACTTCTGTACTAATTCGCCGGGTTCCTGGAAGGCCTCGCATGCCCATTGTTGCTGCTCAAGAGTATTATCTCGATCGTTTAGATTTCTAACCAGTCAAATATATAACTTTATTAAAGTTGTTGAGAAAAGAAGGTGTAAAATGTTCAATTACTGCATGAACTTAATGTGTTGTGATCTTCTCTGGTGTGTACTGCCTACTATTGGTAGATGAAATTTGATAATGGGTCTGAGTTAGGGTTTTGTCATGCTTCACAGGCCTAAGGTGGGAAATCATACTGAAAATGTTCAACCTGAAAAGATTAACTTTCTGGATGCCGAGTCATCTGCCCCAAAATATGTAAGCTTTTTTTAACGTATTATCCTTGAGGAAAATTTGTGTGTCTTCATGCTACTTGTGTTAACTATTGTGTATTTGGGGAATATTCTACGTATTAGCAAAGAAAAACATTAGAAGTCTAATATCAACCTTGATCTTTTTTCTTTTAGCCCGAAGAAACTGAATGGGATGAATTTGGAAATGATTTATATTCAGTCCCTGATACGATGCCAGTTCTGTCTAGCAATCCAGTTCATAATGCTGCCCCCACTAATAAAGCTGATGAAGACGACAAGATTAAGGCTTTAATTGATACTCCTGCCTTGGATTGGCAGTGGTAATATGAGTCCTAGTTTCTTTTCTTTTTTGTTGTATTGGTGTAACTTTCATTAGTAATGATTTTATTTATTTTGGATTGACAGCCAAAGTGTGGATGGTTTTGGACCTGGTAGAGGCTTTGGAAGGGGTATGGGTGGAAGGATGGGAGGGCGTGGTTTTGGTGATTCTCCTATGCCTTTTTGGTTTTTATTGCATCATTTATTCACGGTGGATGAGAATGCATTTGTGCGCATGATGTTCTTTTTAGGCTAATCTCTAGATTATTTACACTTGAAGCTGTTCCTACTTTTTTGAATGTGATATTAGTTATGCGATTTCATATTATTTTTGTGTCTAATGGTCTATATATGTTTGCATGCGAGTATGATGGCCTTGTCCATAGTTCCTTAACTTGCAAATTTACTGAAGTTTGCACTGTCACCTTTTTTCCTTTCGCTTTTAACATGTAATGATTTTTAATTGTCATTTATTCTCATTTTAAATCAGCCAAGTTTGAAATTTTTTGGGACATTTCATTCATGTAATTGTACTGAAATTGTATATGGAGCTGAATATTATGCTTGTTTTAATTGAACTCAATTAGGATTAGAGCGGAAAACACCTCCTCAGGGTTATGTTTGTCACCGCTGTAAGGTTCCAGGTATGTTGATAATACTTATTTTCCTGGAGTTTGTGCTTTTTAGCAAACTTGTGCTTATTATGGAATTTTTCATATAGGGCATTTTATTCAGCACTGCCCCACAAATGGTGATCCAAACTATGATATCAAAAGGGTAAAGCCTCCAACTGGAATTCCAAAGTCGATGCTGATGGCAACTCCAGATGGCTCTTATGCATTGCCAAGTGGAGCAGTTGCAGTTTTGAAACCTAATGAGTAACTGTCCTGTCTTATAAGTTCAATTTTCTCTATGCTTGTAGGGAATTCATTTTTTATGCTTGAAAATTAATTTGGTTTTTTTTCTAACAGAGCTGCTTTTGAGAAAGAGATTGAGGGCTTACCTTCCACTCGTTCTGTTGGTGACCTTCCACCTGAATTTCACTGCCCATTGTGCAAGGAAGTAATGAAGGATGCTGTTCTAACTAGCAAATGCTGTTTTACGAGTTTTTGTGATAAATGTGAGTTTCATAGCTACTTATTCCATTCATTTTCTAGTTATAATTTTCCTGCTGATGCTTTTGTTTATGCATGTTGAAGCTCACTTTAACAAAATGTAACTCAGGTATAAGGGATCACATTATCTCAAAATTAGTTTGCGTATGTGGGGCTTCCAACATACTCGCCGATGATCTTCTGCCAAATAAGACCCTAAGAGATACAATTTATCGTATATTGGAGTCTGGTAACAGCAGTGCTGACAATGCTGGAAGCACTTTTCAAATTCAAGGTTCATTAGCCATTGTCATAATAAAATGAAGTTTTCAATGAGTTATATGATGTAAGAATCATTATTGATATGTCATTTCTTTCAAATTTAGATATGGAATCCACCCGATGTCCACATCCAAAAATTCTGTCTCCTACTACATCTGCTGCATCAAAGGGAGAGCAGAAGCCAGTATCTGCTAAGGAAGAATGCCCTGTTGTGAATGAAAAAGCTTATGAGGTGAAGGCAGCTATTCCTCCACAGCAGGCCTTGGAGAAAGTTAAGGTTGTTAAACCTGCTGATGCATCTGAGGCTACGCTGGAGTCAATGAGTGTGAAGGAATCTGCATCACAAGGGAGTGCCCTGCTTGCAGAGGAAGAAGTGCAACAGAAGGCAGCTTCTGGAGAGGCAGGTAATGATTATTTGTTTCTTAATTTTTTTTTATCTTGATTTGGTCGGTTTGGAAGAAAACATTCAATAATGTTGGTGCTAATCTCCTCTAGAAATTGTAAGAAAGTAAATAAAGGAATATACACTACCATTGTTTGGTTAAACAGCGGAAAGAAAATGATTCATTTTATTGACCTTTTCCAATTGTATTATCAATTTTTTTATAAAATAACTTGTGTAAAAGATTAAGGGGATTAAAAGGTATAGGTATTTTACATCTTAATATATATATTTTAACTATCCTTTCCCCCAGATTGGGGTAAATAAAAATGGTGTGTTTCAAGGGAAAGCAAGGAATATTCCACTCCCTTCACTTTTCCTTGCTTAAATAAAAAAAATATCCAAAGAAGGGAAAGGTGTTTACTTTCCTTTCCCTTAAAATATAGTTTGAAGTGAGGCTATTCTGCCACATGCCTGCCTTAGTACCATTCTTCTTGAAAGATTGTGGCAAAGGTATCTTTTTTGATAAGAATATTCTGGTCGGGTATATTAACATACATTCTTCAGGTAGTAAATTTTTATGTAATCTTCTTTCATGTTTCATCTTACACACATAGTTGGATGTTGGTGTGTATTATAGAGAGAATTGTTTTCCTTCTCTAGTGGGAATGATGCAATAAATGGATCGAGTTTTAATTTTGATGCTTCGCTTTTCCAGGAAAGAAAAAGAAAAAGAAGAAGGTCCGTTTGCTAGCAAATGGTAGGTCTACGGTCCCTTTTTGGTATTTGATGATGATACTACATGTGAGACTCATAAAATCATTAGGAATGTTTAATCTGAGTCTTATTCTTTTTGCTTTCTAGACTTGCATTGGAAAACCCCTCAGGATCTTGCAGCTGAGAGCTATATGATTTCTATGGGTCCTTCAGTCTATAACCCTTACTGGACTGGTATGCAGCCAGGAATGGATGGGTTTATGGGTCCTTATGTTGGTGGGATGCCTTATATGGGGGGATATGGACTAGGTCCACTGGACATGCCATTTGGAAGTGTCATGCCTCCAGATCCTTTTGGTGCTCAAGGGTACATGTTTCATCCTCCCCCATCTCAAAGGTACGAGTAATATTTGTTAAATAGTTATATGTTATGTTTATAACAGTTGCAATTTTATTGCTTGGGTGTATGCGTGGCAGTTTTGTCTGCTTTAACTTCACATGCAATTTGATTTGAATGTTCTATAGAGATCTTGCTGAGTTTGGAATGGGTATGAATGTTGCCCCACCAAATATGAGTAGAGAGGAATTTGAGGCTCGGCAAGCTGATTTGAGGAGGCGGCATGAAAATCTGAGAGGAGGTGAAAGGTACTGAACATACTCTCATTCTAAGCTTACTATTTGCACGCCAATTGATCACTTACTATGTTCAACTGACTTGGGAATAATATTCTTCTTGTTATTTAGAGATGGATTTCACATGATTAATTGGCTTAGTAGCTATTTTCTAAAATTATTGCAGGGATTTCACCAGAGATCGGGAATTCAATAGAGAAGTGAGTATCTGCAGTGATTTTTCTTTATTGAAATCAAAATATGTATGTATTCATTATTTTCCTACTTTCTGTTTCTGGTTATGCCCATTGCCCATATGGTTCCACTTATTGACATAGTATAAATGAAAAAGAATAGTATAAATGAAAAAGGATAAGCACATAGAGATGGTCAGGGTTGCACGGTTTAAGCATTGTATTTGTGTCATTTTGCAGGGTTCTGATACTATATTATCTATGCTGCTAAATATGTGTTATATACTCTCTGCTTCCTTTGTTTCTTTAAGACAATTTCTGCTGTTTGTTGAGTTCGCAATGAAGTAGAACTTACATTAAACCTCGAAGCCATCCTGTAGTCTTCTATTAATGGTGGCAGGCTTGAGCTCGATCTCGAGCTCAATTAAACTCATTGATTTTTGTACTCAAGCTTGAACTTGAGCTTGATTAAGCTTATTCGTATTCAATAATATGTATTAAGGGTAGAAATGTATTTTAATTATATAAAAAAAGCTCGAAAATCTTGTGATCCATTTGAGCTGGTTGTTATGGTGCTCGAATTCAGTTTTGATCTTTAACTTGAGATGCTCAAGCTCGAGCTTGGCTTGATAATTACCAAATCGAATTCGAGTTTTTTTCAAGTTGAACCAGATAGTTTGCGAGCATAGGTCTCCCATTTGTGCCCTAACTTGAGACACAGATTTCCTTCTAGTTCATCCTGTTTGTGTTTGTTCCTTGATGTTTTTTTTAAAGTATTTTTAAAATTAATTGTAATCATTCTGCACTTGCCATCTACTATTCTCGATCTTTTATCTACCAATGCTCTGTTGTTTTGCTGTTCTATTTCTATCCTCAAAATGAACATTAGAGAGAAATGAACACGAGAGATATATGCTTCTGGTCGCTATTCATGAAACACTACTGGAAGATTCTCTTGGCTTAATAGCATCAGCATGCTCATGTCCAGTGGCTGTGACATGGAAAAATAAGATAGTCTTTTGAGTCGGGGTGGAACACATTTATGATTTAACTTGATCATTTCAATCATGGTTGTTTGTTGCAGAAGCCTACCCCACAAATGTTAGGTGGTGAACGTCGCCATGAGTATCCTCGTCTCCAATCAGAGAGGAGCTCACAGGAACTTTCCTTGTGGGACCATGAAGCAACTTGCTGTCCTTCAAAGAGAAAACCTGACCAACATACTGAACGTGATCGGGATCACGGTCGTGATCACAATCATCACCATCGATCCGAGTCTTCGAAGCTTGCCCCTGAAACAGTCACCAAATCCACTTCCACGACTGCTGCAGCAACAATGGAAAAGACCCAAAAGTCGAGTGTGTTTTCTCGCATTAGCTTTCCAGAACACAGCAAGAAACACATACAATCTTCGGATGCACCTGCATCTTCTGGTCATCACAAGTCAACTTCCAATGGATACAAGGCAACTTGTGTTAGTAGCAGTGGTGGTAGGAAGAACAGTCGGAGCAATGCTGTAGATCAGGAATGTAGTGATGATGATAGACATTTCAAAAGGAAGACATCAAGGAATTCGCGCTCACCATCAACGGAGTGGATAGAGCAATCGCGGCACTCAAGAGGATTCAAGGAACGAGAGCGCAGCAGCTATAATAAACATAGATAAGAGTGAAAATAAGAGTTTGCATCACTGTGAATGCCTACGAAGCTATCGTGAGCGAGCACACTGAAGCTATTGGAATCCCTTTTGGACCTTTTATTGCATTATATGCTTACAATTATAATATAATATAAAAGCTTTTTGCTTTCCCTGCATTTCACATCCCGTAATTATTCTTTTTGAACAATTTTTACTTGATCTTAATAGGTATTAAAATCACAATTCAAGAAAGAGGAAAAATGTTAACTGATAATTTTTAATCACTTATTTTAAAAGTTATTGATCATATTTTATAATTATTGAATTATCGTTGTTTTATCTTTTTCGGGGATATTGATGGATATAAATTCCAGATTCGTGATAATAAATTTGGGTACATGATATTATATTGATAAACAAAGTTTGGTACGTGATATTATATCGATAACATAAAAATTTATATATATTAATAATTGGCATTAAATACTAAAGTAAGTGTTCAAATATACTCTTCGTTCACTTTAAGTGTCTAAAGTATTTTTCGTTCAATGTAGATATCTAATGTTCTCAACGTTATCATTTTAGGTGTCTGATTTATTATGTTTGAAAAAACAAATTGTTACCTGACACTTGTTGCATTTATATTTATAATCAACCTTATAATATAGTTTATATTCAATTAAACCATGTACAATCAATGAGTCGATATTTTGTTTTCACTTTAGTAATTTCACATGCAATATCAAGGACACTGTACACAAACAAAGTAAATAGATAGACATATAAAAATTTTATTTATTTCATTTCAATTCAAGTGGTTTCATTAATTATATAAATTACTTCACTTAGGACATAAAACTTCAACAATTGGTGATTTAGATATGTTTAAGGCAGGTTAGAAGTACCCTAAATTCGATTAAAGTCTCTCGTCACCACCACCACTTACCACTGTCATTGTTGGTCACCATCGGATGTCATCATTCGTCTTTATCGTCAACTGTTTGACCCCAAAATTTATTATTAACTCAGTTTTTATATTTTGAACACGAATTTGATATTCGTTTCACTAGAAAATATCTAAAACTCAACAAATCTAGTCTATAACCATTTCACTTCCTTTAAAATTAAACCAGTTTATTATTAATATTCCTTTAAAAGAAAGCGCATCAAAAAAATTGAATTTATATCAAAATTAAATTTATAAAGTTTTTGTTTATGGTATTGTTATGTTATAATATTTATTATATTTATAATATTAATTATAAATTTTTAATAATGTAAATATTAAAGATGTGACATAACCAAAAATTATAAATATTAAAAAATTACAATTAATATTATAAATATAATAAAAAATAATATTATAATATTATAAACAAATTTTATACATATTATTATGATATAGATTTAGATGTTTATTGTCTTTAGTTTTAAAGAAATATAAATAATAAATTTATTATTATGGTTTAATTTTAAAGAAAGTCGAAGGGTTCTAAACTAGATTTGTTGGGTTCAAAATATTTTCTGGTGAAACAGACACTAAATTCGTGTTCAGAATGTCAAAAGGGAGTAAAATGTAAATTCTGAGATGACGGTAGTCGATGTCGACTAACGATGGTAGATGTCGACTGACGGTGACGACATAAGATTTGACTCGAACCTAGGGATCAAATTAATATTTTATTTTAAATTTAGGGTCAAAATGTTATTTTATATAAAGTTTAAATCAAACTAACTAGTGTTAATGGCTCCATGACCAAAATGTAACATTCGATAACACATGTGACCAAAACTTAATAAATCAATAATTTAAATGACAAAAAGTTAAATTATTTAATTTGATGAGCAAAAACGTACGAATATGAAAAGAAAGTGACAAACCCAGAAAAATATGGTCATTTCTACTTTGGCAGATTGGGGTCATTTGTGGATTTAAAACTTCAATAACATTATGAACTTGATTCTAATACTAATTATATTTATTATGCGTACTAATTGCGTTACCAGAATTCTTTGGCAAGTTCGATTTATCTTTTATTAAAAAAAAAACCAAATCGAATGCTCTCCTAGTAGAAAATAACGGGAGACCTCAGTCGCATGTCATTGAGTGAGCATAGAGTCGAATGTTAATTAAATGCTCAAGATGGCAGCAAGGGTCCATAATCAACGATTATGGAACGGTATTTTGAATAAATTTGATCATTAACATTTGAGTAATAAATATAGCAAAACAAAGCTCCACTATAGTACTATCTTCATAACATATAATTACATACCCAGTTAGTGATTAACCTAACAAAAATATATAAATTAAAAGTTTCGTTTCTTAAAATCTTCCCTTCCCCTGTGCAGAATGCCTTTTTATTTTTCATGGATTTAAGCAAACAATCTACATTCTTTAACGATCGAAGATGAACAATCTACATTCCTTAATGAACGAAGACGAATAAAAAAATTTGTGTTCGTTTATGTTCATGTCCGTTCATTTGGTCGATTAAAGTTAAACGAACGAACATGAACATATCATGTTCATGTTTGATCGGTTCGTTTACAGGCCTAATGATTATAATTGTTTATAAAGAAAAAAATTGGGTTTGATTTACATACTCAGACTACAAACGTGATAATTTATTATCAAATTTAAGCTAAAATTAAAATCAAGTTGAATTTGAAATTTCCCCAAGCAAAAACCCAAATAATTTGAAGTTTATGATCATAATTGATATAAGATTAAAATGTTCATAAGGTTTGAGTATAGAGAGTAAAGTTCAAAAACTGAAATTAAACTACTCAATCAAGATAAACTTTAATATCAATTCTATTATTTGTCTCTCCCTGGGAGTATAAGAAGCTGTATACACATCGACTTCTCGCACTCTCTCAGCTAATATTCGTCTGATCGCCAAGCAAGCCGGGGGCAAGATGCACTTGATTACATGCATGTCTGGTGCCTAAATGTACACTTTTCTAGAGTAATAGATGCAAAAATACTCCACCCCGATTAAATTTCTCTATAGTTTCTTTTAGGGTTTTTTTTCATATTGTACCTTTACTACTAAAAAAGGGATAATACCAAACTCTATACTTCTTAATATTTGAGCATTCAACAACAAATATGAGACCATAAGAAAATCATGCATATTGGTCAACGAAAAGAACGGAAATTTTACATGTTTTATACACGCGTGCGCGTAAACACACATACAGAAACACAGACATAATATTAGGTTTTTATATGCATCACTAAGTTCACGACTTAGCGTGTGAGTGTTTCACACGCAGGTTTTGCAGAGTTTATGGATCGATGGGAAGCAAGACAGGTCAGTTCTCCTTACCGAAGGTCAGATCAGAAGAGAGATGAATAATATGTATTTTAGTATATAAAAATCTAGTTGGTATGTATTTAAAAGAATAAATTGTATAAACTCTGAACAGTTTTGTAAACGTTTTAAATAGTTATATGTAAACCATTTAGTGTGTTTTTAAATTAAGTTTGAATATTTCTCTATTTGAAATAAGAAAATGGTTTGAAAAGTCAATGTAATACTTCTGACTTATATCTGGGTTGGATACGAGTTGGGGGTGTTATATATTTTATATATATATTTTTTATTGAAAATCTATTATCGTATCCTAAAATATTAGTTCACCCCCTAACATAAAATCTTGCGTCCGTCACTAATAAAATGTTAGTAGAGAGAAGTGTTAAAATAATAATATGAATGGAAAGCGTAATTCAATATGATGGTTGAATTTTTAAAAAAACTAAACGTTAGGTACTAAAATGAACCAAAATCGATATTATAGTTACTAAATGTGTAGTTTACCCTTTTTTTTAACTAAAAGCATAATCTTGAACATTTACGAAGGCATTTAGCATAAAGTCAAAAGGATTTGTATAACATTGAAATTGAAATATCCAAAAATATGGTTTGAACCCATATAATATAAAATATTTAATACTGATAATGAAACTTTAAAAAAAATTTAATCGTTAATTGGTCTAATATATAATTATCTTATCGATTCACCGAACAATGAACACCCTTACCAGAAAAATAAATGGAGACATTGATCTGCTGTCTGGCCTTACTATGATTGTCAACTAATTAGGGTGTTCAGACAAATCAAACCAAAAGTTAAAAAGAGTTTTATTGGAGCAGCAGAAAGGCAGAGAGAGGGGCAATATAATTCATGGCAGTGAATTAGAGACCTGTGTGTCGGCAGCTTTGTTCGCTACTAATATCCTAAAATCATAGCATAACTAGTAGACCACACCCCACCCCACCCCACCCCACCCCACCCCACCCCATACCCATGCATGGCATTTGGCTTTGGCAAATCGATTTTGCCCCTCTTTGCTCATTGTCGTGTAACGAGAATAGAGCAAAGATCAATAGATGATCAAGTTTGTCCGGCCATTAGAACTTCAAAAGATTAATCCGCTTCTCTATTACTTCAGGATAAGCAAGACTTGAAAAATCTTCGAATGACGGGTCTGCTCCCTATTCTTTCAGGGAGTATAAGACTCAAACAATCTTCAACAAACGGGTCTGCTCCCTATTCCTTCAGAGAGTATAAGACTCGATCTTCAATAAACGTATCCGCTCCCTATTCATTCAGAGAGTATAGGACTCGAACAATCTTCAACAAACGGGTCCGCTCCCTATTCGTTCAGGGAGTATAGAACTCGAACATCTTCTTCTTACGGGTTCGCTCACTCTTTCTCTAGGGAGTATGGAACTCGAACATCTTCTTCTTACGGGTTCGCTCCCTCTTTCTCTAGGGAGTATGGAACTCGAACATCTCCTTCTTAGTGGTTCGCTCCCTCTTTCTCTAGGGAGTATGGAACTCAAACATCTCCTTCTTACGGGTTCGCTCCCTCTTTCTCTAGGGAGTATGGAACTCGAACATCTTCTTCTTACTGGTTTGCTCCCTCTTTCTCTAGGGAGTATGGAACTCGAACATCTTCTTCTTACTGGTTCGCTCCCTCTTTCTCTAGGGAGTATGGAACTCAAACATATTCTTCTTACAGGTTCGTTCCCTCTTTCTCTAGGGAGTATGGAACTCAAACATATTCTTCTTACATGTTCGCTCCCTCTTTCTCTAGGGAATATGGAACTCAAACATATTCTTCTTACAGGTTCGCTCCCTCTTTCTCTAGGGAGTATTGAAC